AAACGTTGTTACAAACCTTAGTAACAGAACCTGATTCACTAGTAACCGAACCTGATTCACTAGTAACAGAACCTGATTCACTAGTAATAGAACCTGATTTTTATGCATGTGTAAAACCACAATAACGAAATGTAATCAGTTAGGATTTCACAGAAATTCCCTAGTTTACTTACAAATGTATATATATATATATATGTTATTTTCAGAATCTCTTATTCATGAGATAGGCCTACAAAGGATCAGTTTTGTTGTTTCTTGTTAAACGCAAAGCAACACAATGAGATATCTGTGCTTTACCAGCCACAGGTGTCGAAACACGATATTGGCGTCGTAAGCCTGCATACTTATCGCCGAGCCATTTAGTGGGGGGAGAGGGGCAGGGGATCAGAAGGTCATTTTTAGCATTATCACATTAGTTTCTTAATTTCTTGAATTTCACGCAAAGCTACAAGGGGATGTCTGCACTAGCCGTCCCTAATTTAGCAGTGATGGACTAGGTGGAAAGTGCCTAGTCAACACCACCCACCGCCAACTCTTGGGCTACTCCTTACCAACGAATACTGGGAATGACCGTCACATTACATGAACCCAGTGCTGAAAGACTAACATGTTTGAGTTAGCTCTTGGCATAGGTAGTTTTAGGCTTATTAATTGTTGTAAACAACTATTACTGTATATCCGAGTTAGCTTATGACATAGATAGTTTTAGGCTTATTAATTGTTGTAAACAACTATTACTGTATATCCGATTTAGCTTATGACATAGATAGTTTCAGACCTATTAACTGTTGTAAACAACTATTACTGTATATCCGATTTAGCTTATGACATAGATAGTTTTAGGCTTATTAACTGTTGTAAACAACTATTCCTGTATATCCGAGTTAGCTCTTGGCATTGGTAGTTTTAGGCTTATTAACTGGTGTTAAAAACTATTACTGTATATCCGAGTTAGCTCTTGGCATTGGTAGTTTTAGGCTTATTAACTGTTGTAAACAACTATTACTGTATATCCGAGTTAGCTCTTGGCATTGGTAGTTTTGGGCTTATTAACGCCAGGAATGGAACTTTTGCTCTTGGGCTTATTCTATAAAGTATGTTTCATAAGAAACGTCTGCGCAACGTTTTTCTCAATCCCTGACAAAGAAAGTTATATCGTTTCTGAAGTTGCTTGTAACCCGTTAATTATTAAATATGCACATCGGCGAATCAAGCGAATTCTCAGAGATTTCGAAGCAGGTAAAAGCTACTAATATCTGTAATATTTATGTGTATGTATGCTAGTCATTGAATTAGTAACGACTGTTTCCTGCAAGGAATTCTCCATCATAATTTTATTTAATGGCCTAAAGGAATTGCTCGTTGCATTTTTCTGATCATGAAAGATTAAGTAATAACTTAAAAAATTACCTCCTACATCCTGTTCAAAAACCGCGTACACCTGGAAACGGCAATGGTTGTTTGTAGTAATAATTATAAAGTAGTAACAGTTAAATATCCATAGAAGTTATTTAGCCTAAAACGTATAAATACTGACATATTATCAAAGGAAGAAACACCACTGTTATACATTCAATAATTAACATCTTAATATTCATTAGGATTTTAACGTACTCAACTCTACTCTAAAATATCTTCCAGTGTTTCTAGAACTTTCCCTGTTGTTCTAGTACTAACTTAATGTAATATCTCTAGCATAGTACACCGGTAAGCTTGAAGGCTTAGGACGTCAAAAGTGAGGACTGATTTCCTGCGGTGGTGGAACACCGATGGTTCGTTGCTCAGTTTTGTGTTTAATATCCAACAACACTGTTTTATCTTTATTAGAATCCAAAAATACCAACTTCGTACATCTTTACAGAATGAAAGGCTGGAAGTTTTATGTATTATTTTACATTTCAAACAAATTAGTTTCTTTCAGACACAACAGCAAAACAAGAAAAATAAATAAACAGAGTGTAAGTTAAGAAAGGATAAAAAACAACAACAACGATTTAGAAATGCACTCATAAATTTATAATTCTCTATCATTGTTTAATTCAATTTTAGCAAAATTTTCGAACCACCATTGCCAAGTGCTTATGTGTGTCGCAAGTGTGTAACAATGTCTACACATTAATGGCCATATGCTTATGTGTGTCGCAGGTGTGTAACAGTGTTTATACACACATAATTTATTGTACATATCATGTGCTTATGTGTGTTGCATGTTTGTAACAATGTTTACACATACATACTTTATTGTCTACTACTGTGTCGTATTGAATCAGGTTCTATTACTAGTGAATCAGGTTCTGTTACTAGTGAATCAGGTTCTGTTACTAGTGAATCAGGTTCTGTTACTAGTGAATCAGGTTCTGTTACTAGTGAATCAGGTTCTATTACTAGTGAATCAGGTTCTGTTACTAGTGAATCAGGTTCTATCACTAGTGAATCAGGTTCTGTTACTAGTGAATCAGGTTCTGTTACTGGTGAATCAGGTTCTGTTACTAGTGAATCAGGTTCTATTACTAGTGAATCAGGTTCTGTTACTAGTGAATCAGGTTCTGTTACAAGTGAATCAGGTTCTGTTACTAATGAATCAGGTTCTGTTACTAGTGAATCAGGTTCTATTACTAGTGAATCAGGTTCTGTTACAAGTGAATCAGGTTCTGTTACTAATGAATCAGGTTCTGTTACTAGTGAATCAGGTTCTGTTACTAGTGAATCAGGTTCTGTTACAAGTGAATCAGGTTCTGTTACTAGTGAATCAG